ATGAGACAGCCCTGCACTAGCTGCTTCCCCCCAGCAGACCAGGGAGATGCGAAGCTAGGGGGGAGTGGCAGCAGCCCAGGGAGACGCGGAGCAGCTTTTCTCGCCCCGGAGGACGCGGGCAGCGGGACCACGGCGCGTCTGGGCGGTCCCACCACCCGCGTCCTCCAGGGCAAGAAAAACCCCGTTCGTAAGTACGGATCCGACATAAGTCAGATCCGCATAACCCGGGGACTGCCTGTAGTTGATTTAAGCTACTACAAGCAATTTAACTCAGTTGGTAAATGTACTTTTTTGGCACAGTTAATCATGTTCTCTACAGCCACAGTCGAAAAAATCCTACCCACTGGTTTTTTTCTGGAGACAGAGCTATGCTGCTGTGCATGTTGGCTTGTTTGAATTCTTAATGGAGTCTTTTTCATATGTTACAACTGTCAATCAAGTACATCCAACTTTATAGCCAGTCACTAAAGAGATAAATGATAAGCAGTTAAGTTGGGTTTCTTTATTTAAATTTGATGAATATACTATAGATATGGAAATATTCACTCTGTATTCATTTTTGCCCTTTTTAAATATTTTAAAAATCCATGATAATAAATATGACAAAAAATCATCTTTGTTCTCGTATGATCACAACTGTGCAAGCTTTACTTGGAAAATATAATCACCAGTTATACCAGTCCATTAAATATCTCTAAATGGAGATCAGTATTTCCAATGCATGAACTGTGGAAGCGTTTGGTCACATAGGGGACGTATTCTCAGTTGATGTAAATCACAATTCTACTGAAGTCATTAGCTGTGCATTGGGCCTTTATCTATCTTTATTTTCATCCAGCTCCAGTAGCTACTTCATTTTACCTCTTAACTAAACAATTTAGTACTTTAATAACAGGTCTAAAATACATTTCTGATTCAATAAACAACAAGAAAGTAAGATTATTAAAACAGAAGTTGAGGAGACAACTGGTAAATAACATATTCTGGAGAAAGTCAGATCAAAGTTAATTTAAATCACATAAAGAAGGAAGAAAATGTTCCATTAACTGTTTTACATAAAACAGTATATTGAATCTTGATTTTTGTGACACTGTGTGTAGCAAGTAAGCACCTGAAATCTAGTCTGGTTGGAAAATATCCTTGGTGATAAATGGCAGCTGTTCCCAAAATTCTGTTAATGTCTTTTGATTTTAAAATAAAACCATCATTTGTTCTAAAAAATTTGAGGACAGTGCCTTATAGGTTAGAATTTTAGAAAGATTTTAAAATATTCTCATGCTAAATTTGAATTTACTGTAGATATTTCATTTTTGAATTGTAAGTGTAGTATTCAGTTTCTTTTTGTAATGATCAAACTTTATCCAAAAAGGATAGTGGAATTACACAGTGTTTAATTTGACATGGAATAATTACAGGCAACTACAATAATTATAGGCAACATCTTGGCTACAATACCACCAACTCAATATCAAATGCGTGAATCTGTGTTTAGACAGGTTTCCATGCAGAAGATAGAGATATATTCATGGAGGTTATTAGCCAGAATGTATAGGAATGATCTCCCTAGCCTCTGTTTGTCAGGGGCTGGAAATGAATGACAAGAAAGGAATCACGTGAGGATTACCTGTTCTGTTCACTCCCTCTGAAGCATCTTGCATTGGCCACTGTCAGAAGACAGAATATAGCACTAGCTGGACCTTTGGTCTGACCAGTGTGGCCATTCTTAAGTTCTTTGTGAGGCTGGTCAGTGACAGTGAAGTTGTTTTTGTTTGTTGTGTATTTGATTGTTTTTTGTTTTGTTTTTGCTGTAGCAACAACATTCTTTCTTGCTTCAGAACCTTGAAGAGTATACATGTTCTAGTGCAGTCAGACCAGTGCGAACAAACTTGAAACAGATGAAATTAGCAAGATACTTTGGGTAAAAAAGCACAAACTGAAAGTAGTAAAGCAGGAACTGCAGGGAACACCAGCCACAAGTCCCCAAGCCAGGGTAAAAGTGAGAATGACATTTTTGAGCAGCTTTTGGGGAAATTGCAGAAAAATTCTTGACTCTATATGTTAATTAGGTCATAAACATGGGTGTGACTGAGTCCAGGAGAGGAGGGGGAATAGGGTCCTCTTCCCTCCCCCCTTGTCACCGTCTCTCCCCCCC